AAATACTTTGTTGCGTGACACTCTCGTGTGCTTCCTCCACTACTTATTTCATAGCAAACGAGGGTACCAATACCAATACCATCACTGGGAAGAGTTTACCAAAAGTTCGCTCCTCGCTGTGCCTCTTAAAGTCGGGACGCCGAGCTGCTTGATATTGGTCTACGCGACACCTGCTCCTGTGTAAGCCTCTTCTTTGCCCAACCGGAGGCTATGATAGATTTCTACCCAGGAAGGGTACTAGCTATGAATAACAAGCCTCCTGGGCTGACCACATATCCATTCCCTCTCCTGTCGGGCAGGTGCGATACCGGATTAGTGCTAAGCCTAACCCTAATCCGTGATGAGCGCTAAGCGTCGCCGAAGCGGCGCTTAGCGCAAACGAATTAGCGCTTGGAATAGCGCTACCGGTGGCTCAGCCTGCGCAGCGCCGGCCTCTACTCGCCCTTATTTGTCCGGGTCCACTTTTCTGTTTCCCCGGGGTCTATGATTTGGGTTTGGATACCCTCCGCCAGGCCGTGGGGTCCAACTCTGAGGCAGCCCCGCTTGTTTTTTTTTTTTTTTTTTTGACATCGCAGTTTGTATTATAGAAAATTGGAGAACTGAGGCCGGGAATCCCTCAACATCTCAACCCGGAATTCCTGGGGCCAATACCCAGTTTAGGCTTTACTGGAAACCGGATCCAGTGTCCCATGTACGGCAACTTCAACCAAAAAAGAAAATCGCAGCTGGACTAACAAATTCCAAAACCAGAAATAAGAGAGGCAACCACTAAGCAAATTAACCAGTTATTCTGCTATTCTGACTGGGAGCCTTACCCAGCTTCGCTTAAAGATATTACAGAAAAGAGGACAGTTCTCGGACTACTTCCAATGAAGAGACCTTGCTTACATTGGCAGGAGACCATAGATAAATGTGACTAGCCAAGAAACCACAAATACCCAATGATCTAAAGCAAACTACAGAGTTCTATCTGGAGCAGGTGATTTGGAGAAATCCGAAGGAAGATCCATCAAAACCAAAAGAGAGGCCCGCCGGACCAGCTAATAGACGTGTGGAGCCCGGGTTGTCATGACGAGGTTTCCCACCTTGTACCCTTGAGACTCTGTAGAAAGTACCGTATTCCAGGTACTCTAGATCCCAATGGGTACAACCCAGATTTGCTCTCTTATCAGCTGAATGCTGATCGCCCGTGCCCTAAGTAGCTCAGCAACGCTGCCACAACCACTAGTAGGTCTCCCACTACCTCCAGTTGTTCCGTTGCCTACTATGGACAAGCCCAGTATAGATACCAAAGGAGAAGAACTTAGCACGAAACTATCAGGTGTGCTGCAAACTAGAGGCAACCAAGCAAAGGAAAGAACACCAACAATCTAAGTTTACACCGTAATGAAGCCAAGCAACAGAAGGAACACCAACAATCTAAGTTCACACCGTAGTGAAGCCAAGCAACATAAAGAGCACCAACACTCTAAGTTCACACCGTAGTGAAGCTAACCTCCGATAAACATTTCGTTCCTTCAACGGAGAGGCGTGTGCTAGCGAGCGTGGTTCAGCTAGAACCTAGAGATAGGGGGGAGCAGGGATCTGGTCTGTAAATACGGTTCGATGCAAAACACGAAGAAATCTACACTACATCCCAAGCTAGAGGGGAAATAGAAAAACAGGCCAATGGCGGTTAGATGCAAATTGCGAAAAGCTCAGCCTGTGGACCGTAGAAAATCAAAGATGCTGGTTAATTCGTGCTAAATGCTGCGTGCAAAAAAAACAGTGTATTGATGGCAACAGGTGGGGACGAGAGATGAGCAACAGCGCGTGCAATCAGTAATGGGGCAGCGGTCGGAGTTAGGGCATCGTTACACCACTCTTGAAATGTCCAAAATGAGAATGAGCTTCCCGCTAGAACATGGCCAGATGCATCCGCCACATTTTTGTCTTTCTCACATTTCGAGAGTGGTGTGGGGATGCCCTTATCCAGGATAAGAATTCTGAGGAGCCGATGCAATACTAATAGCCTAGAAAAAAATAAAAATAAAAATTACTAATAGCCTAGTTCAAAAAGGGGTGAATCCAGCCATAGAAAGGGACGGAATACAGGCCGTTGAAAACGAGAAGAGCAGCCAAGGTTAGGTTCGAAGTTCCAGAGAGAGACACAGATGGCTTAAAGAAGGGAAGATAGTTCCACGTTCAAGGGAACAAAGACTACATATAGCTGAGCGCAAATTTCAAAAGATTCAAGGGGCAAATAAGCCCCCACCAGAATACCAGGAACTGTGGAAACGATTGAGAAAGCTCCCATCTCAGAGACAGGTGAGGGGCCTGACACCGTCTGCCCTATGGTTACAGTCTAGGGGGATGGAGTTGAGTTTAAGGTGCACAAGGTGCAAATGGGGATGGGAGTCAAGGGAACATGTGTGGTTATTCTGCCCCTTAGCAGACTAAATTTGGCTTTGGTGGAAAACTTTCCACATGCGAAGTTTTTCAAAAAAAAAAAAAAAAAAAAAAAAAAAAAAGGGCTGGGACGCTTGGTGGGCCAGAGCTGGGAATGGAATGATGACTGGATTCTGCATGCAATACCTCCGGACAAAGGAAAATGGAAAGAACAGTGGGGATATGCAGCTCTGGTCTGTAGGGGGATAGTGATGGAGACAATCTGGAAAGCAAGAAATGCCTCGGTCTTTAAGGAAGAACAGGTATCAACGCAGCAGCAGATGGGTATGATCAAGCAAATGCTGAGACATACCATTCTGGCGGATTGGAAGAGAGCCGGGCGGAGAGCAGGGGGAGGCACCTCGTGGTTCAGAAAAGTCTGGTCAGGGGAAAATGTTTTTGTGTCAGTTACAGAGGAAGGCAAGTTGATATTTTCAGGTTGGCTTACAGATGGTCTTGCCTGACCTCTCAGGTGTAATGAATACTGTAGCAGATGAAACAAGCTAGGCTTTTATAGCTAGCCCTTTTTCTCTGAGCGTCATGACTATCTTTTTTGGAAAGCATAGCAGGAGGGACGCTGGACCCGGTTTCCAGCAGCTTGGAAGTTTGCTGAGATATTGGAGACAGTCGGTTGGGTATCGAGCTTGGCTCGTAAGCGAAACTGGCTGAGAATGCCAGGATAACTCTGGGTTGAATTGTGAGGTCCGGCCTCAACAATGAATTTTGTAATAAATGACTCATGCTTTCCAAAAAAAAAAAAGAAAAAAAAAAAGATAGTTCCACGTTCGAAGGAACAAAGAAACGCTTGTTTTTGTCATTTTCGTCCGTCTGCTCACTAAGTTCGGCATATCTGGTAACTCCCAAGCGGATACGCCACGAAAGTTCTTGTGTGCGTATGCCCTGAATCTGGCTGGGTTTTAGCCGGAGATGCAGAAACTGCTGAGCACTCGGGCGAAAAAGACAAACCACAGAACGGCGGGACTGCCTGAGAGTTTGTACAGCCGTCATCTGCTGAGCAAGACGATTCGAAGCAGAACGACAAACGCTGAGTCGCATTCCAAAAGAACTCGCACCGAAGGGAGTAGAGATCGTCGGACCCCAATTGATGGAATGTATCAGGACATGAAACTGGTCTTGTACATACATATTGACACTCGTGAAGAGCGGTGGACCTTGAGCGGGATCACCTCGTCCTTGGGGATACACGTTTAAAATATATGTATTTATCGGAAGGAGAGGATGAGGATGTCGCCTGCACAATGGGGCCACACAAAAGTTAGAAAGGCCCCTAGCCGGCCGACCAGCTATCGAGAGAGCAAAACGGGCAAGCAGGGTGGCGGAGAGGGAGGGAATAGAAGTGAATGAAAGCACCTGGCAGTGCACCACTCTCACACCGCGTGCGAGGCTCCCTGTTCCTCTCCCTCTGCTTTCCGTCTGTGGGCATACTCACACTTCCTTCTTCCCCCGAATACAACACACTGTCATTATAGACTAAAAGATGCCCGAAATACAGTTATAATGACCGTGCGTTGTACTCGGGGAAGAAGGTAACACATTTTTACTCATTTATGGACGGAGATGCATACAGGTACGGCTGTACATGCGGTCAGATACATTTAAGATAGTGCTAGTGTGAGTACGCCCAGTGTGCCTGTGTGGGTAGCTGGGTGTATGTTCGGACACTTCCCTGTTCGCGTGTCTGTGTGCGTGTGTGTGTGTGGGTAGCTGGGTGTATAGGCCTCGCCACACCACTCTTGAAATGCGAAGCAGACAAAAATGTGGCGGGCGCATCTGGCCGTGTTCTAGCGGGAAGTTCATTCTCATTTTGCACATTTCAAGAGTGTTGTGGCGATGCTCTATTGGCATCGCCACAGCACTCTCGAAATGTGTAAAATGAGAATGAACTTCGCGCTAGAACATGGCCAGATGCGCCCGCGACATTTTTGTCTTCTCCACATTTCGAGAGTGGTGTGGCGAGGCCCTATGTCCGGACACTTGCCTGTTCGACAGTGTCTCCCCTCCGTCTCCCTCAGGTGGGAGTTACTAGAGACGAAGCACTCATTTGCCTTGCAAAGCGCCAGGGAGAAGCGCCTCCATGTCCGCCTCCCAGGATTGTAGCTTCGCAGGCTGTTGGCTTGGCTGGGCTTCGCTTCGCTCGTATCTCTAGCTCGGTCCGTGTTTGTGTAGGTAGCTGTGTAGGTAGCTTGGTGTACGCTCGGTTATTTGGCTGTTCAGTTGTGTATGTCGCTCTCCTTCAGGTAGTAGAAGAGAAGAAGCGTTGGGCTTGGATAGCAGCAGGGAGACGGGTCGCTACATCCTCTTAATATGACCTCATTTTCCCAAGTTTTTTTTTTTTTTTTTTTCGAGATTTTCCCAAGGTTTTAGGTTCAGAGGCTGCGGGCTTTGCTGGACTTGGCTTCGCTCGCATTCCAAGCTTGGTCTGTGCGTGTGTCTGTGTGGGTAGCTGGGTGCACATTCGTCATTTGGCTGTGCAACTGTGCGCGTCGCTCTCGCTCTCCCTCTGGTTGTTACTAGAGCCGAAGCACTCATTGGGTTTGCAGAGCACGAGCGTGACGTGTCGCCATATCCACCTCTTATCACCTCATCTTTCCAAGGTTGTAGCTTCGGAGGGTGTTGGCTTGGCTTGGCTTGGCTTGGCTTGGCCTGGCCTTGTGTCTCAACCAGCAGAGGGCATTGAGGCCAGGAAGAGCAATAAAACGTGGCACTAAGGTGACAGTCTGTCATCATGTGCCGTTGGGTCGTTTACCGCGGGCCACGTGTTCGCCTCGAGGACATCCTCTTGAAGCCGTCTCACTCGCCTATCACAATGGCGACGGAACATTACGTTCCGAACGTCATGAGGGAAGGTTCTGATATTGTGGACCTTTTACATGTGACAAGGCGCAACATTTGTGACAACCTAGACGGATTCGGGATGGGTTGGTACGCGGGCGACGTGGACGAGTCTGATTCCAAGTCATGCAGCGGCGGAGACGGAGGGGAGACGCACGGGGGGAAGGAGAAGGGCCAGCAGCACGTGAAGCCGCTCATTTACAAGACCACCAAGGCTCCTAAGAATGACGAAGAGATGCACTGCATTGCCAAGGAGGAGGAGAGTGGCTGCGTCTTCGCCCACAACAGGGCGTCAAGCGCGGGGGCAAAAGACGTTATGAATTGCCATCCCTGGAGCTATGGCAGGTTCATGTGGATGCATAACGGCACGATCGCTCGTTTCACCGCAGTCCGTGCTGCCATGCTGGACGAGATGGGTCCAGAATTTGCCGCCCAAATCCAGGGAAAGACGGACTCCGAGTGCGCGTTCTTCTTGTTTCTGCACTACCTTGCTCTGGCATTAACTCGTGGCCGCAGCGCTAATGCCGACGAAAAGCCGTTCTTGGATGCGGAAGCGGCGACGAATGTGAGGACGACGGCAGCTATGCTGGCAGATTGCATGGAGAAGACGATCAAGAAGATCGCAAAGCTTGTAGACAGCGTGTGCGACGAAGAATGCCGCAAGCGGGAACTGTCGTCGCTCAACTTCGCCATCACCGACGGAGTGAGTGTCGTCGGGGCTCGTTTCCGGGACTCTAGGATGGAACCACCTCCATCTCTCTACTATGCTCACGGAATTATGTGTCAGCGACCCGACGGGTCGCTGAAATTCGTCGAGCCTGGATGTGATGCCGACCAACTCGCCCGTGCGGCCATCATCAGCTCCGAGCCCTTGATTAACAAGGACGCCGCCATGGATCTTCAGGTTGATTGGCATCTTATCAATGCCAACCATCTGGTGGTCGTTGACGAGGACAGAGATCTGACGGTCAGGCCGATTTCCGTCGAATTGGACCTTGTCGCCGAGAAGTTCGTACGCAGAATGAAGTGGCGCGCTTTCGCTTAACTCCGTCGCCCCTCTTGCCGAGTCGGACACCAGTGCAGTTAACGGTGCGTGTCCTTCAAAAGCGCTCCGACAAACCGTGCTTCTACCGATTTCTCCGCCAAGGCGCACAAGGTCTGCGTCCACTGAGCGTCGTCGATCACGGCCCTGTCGGCAGAACACGGACGAAACCGACTTCTGCGACGTTTTCGTGAGGCAATCGTTCATCGTTATGTATTTATGTCTATGTGTATGTGTGTGGAGAGAGAGAGAGAGAGAGAGAGAGAGAGAGAGAGAGAGAGAGAGAGAGAGAGAGAGAGAGAGAGAGAGAGAGAGAG